GACGTATCGGTACCTATAATAGGAATCGATTTCTTATGCAATTTCGATTTACTCGTAGACTCACGGCGACATCGACTCATAAACGGTACCCATACTACTTCGATTACGGGAATACTTACAGAATCTGTTTCTATGAACCTAGTGGTAGATTATTGTTAAACGAGTTTCCAGAGCTTTTAAAAGTAACGTACAATAAAACAGATCTCAAGCATACTATCCAACACCATATAGTAACCAACGGGCCACCGGTTAATGCAAGGCGAAGAAGATTGGACCCAAAAAGGCTAGCAATAGCAATGCAGGAATTCGACAAGTTAATGATGCTAGGCATAATAAGGCCTTCGAACAGCCCGTGGGCATCCTCATTGCACATGGCTCCGAAAAAGAATGGAGAATTAAGACCATGTGGGGACTATCGAGCACTTAACAAACAAACAATGGCCGATAGATACCCTATACCACACATCCATGATTTTACCTACAGTATAGAAGGTGCTACAGTATTCTCGAAGATTGACTTAGTTAGAGCGTATTATCACATCCCGGTCGCTCCACAAGACATACCAAAAACAGCAGTAACAACCCCTTTTGGGCTATATGAATTCTTACGCATGCCTTTCGGACTGACTAATGCAGCACAAACATTCCAACGATTTATTGACCAGGTCATCAGAGGCTTACCTGGAGTATACGCATACACAGACGATTTACTAGTAGCCAGCTCCACTATGGACAAGCACATACAACAACTACGGCAATTATTCGCGCGACTAAGAGATCATGGTATTTCCATAAACATTGAGAAGTGTGAGTTTGGAAAAGGATCCTTACAGTTCCTTGGACACATGGTAACTTCTCAAGGTATCACACCGATCATTACAGAAATCGATACCATCAGAGACTATCCGTTGCCCGATACACGAAAGAAATTACGACGATTTCTGGGACTAATAAATTATTACAGACGTTTTATTCCGAATTGTGCAGCAATACTTCAACCACTGACCGATGCGTTACGGGGACACTCCCGGACATTCCAATTATCAGCAGAGGCAATACAGGCCTTCGAGAATGCCAAGAAGACACTCAACAAAAAGACGACATTAGCTAGAAGAAAGAGCGAAGCACCATTAGCTATCATGACAGATGCATCGAATGTGGCGGTAGGAGCTGTTTTACAACAGTTAGTGAATGGCACATGGGAACCGCTTTCATTCTTATCAAAGAGACTGAATCCCACGCAAACGAGATATAGTACTTTCGGAAGAGAATTACTATCAATTTACTTGGCAATAAAACATTTTCGACATATGGTAGAAGGCATAAATTTTACTGTTTATACGGACCACAAACCACTCACGAACGCACTAAGCGCAAAGCAAGATAATTACTCTCCGAGGGAGATCAGACAGTTAGAGTTTATTTCCAAGTTCACTTCTGACATACGATATATTAAAGGCCAAGAAAACGAAGTAGCTGACGCATTATCAAGAACGACAATAAACGCTCTCGTCCAATTTGAAATCGATTATCACGAATTAACAGAATTACAAAATATAGATGTCGAGTTAAACAGACTGAAGTCTGACAATACAACCTCTCTGGTACTAAAAGAAACTTCAATCGAAAACGAGAGTATTATGTGCGATATTTCTACGGGCCGACCAAGACCATTTATTCCGAAGTCCCTAAGACGAAAGGTTTTCGACACTATGCATAACATATCACATCCTGGGATAAAGGTCACAATCAAATTAATCAGCGAACGTTTTGCATGGCCAAGTATGAACCGGGATGTTCGTAATTAGACGCAAACTTGCATAAAATGCCAAAAAGTTAAAGTACATCGTCACACCAGTTCCGCAATAGGTCCTTTTCGTCATCCTGATAGCAGATTTGAGCATATACATATTGACATTTTACGACCGCTGCCGATTTCAAACGGCTTTAGTTATATTTTTACCTGCATTGATAGATTTACACGATGGCCTGTGGCAGTACCCATAAAAGACATTTCGGCCGAAACTATAGCCAAAGCTTTAGTAGAGCATTGGATCTCTCATTATGGTGTGTCTGCACATATTACAACCGATCGAGGAGCCCAATTTGAGAGCCACCTCTTTCAACAACTCACTGAACTCCTAGGAATCAAGCGTATTCGGACAACATCTTACCATCCGATGGCGAATGGTATGGTAGAAAGATTACATCGGCAACTCAAAGCCTCTCTTACATCTGCTATTAGCAGTAATGATTGGGCCAGCAAACTCCCACTAGTCATGTTAGGTTTAAGATCAACAATTAAACAAGATATAGGATGCTGCCCAGCAGAGTTGGTTTATGGAACCACTTTACATCTTCCAGGAGAGATTTTCGCCTCAAGTAAAAGTGTTCCAACTGATTTAACCAACTATGTACAACGTGTAAAGCAGCATATGGGTAACCTAAGAATAACACTTCCCAGACAGCATCAACAACGTGTGCACATACCAAAACAACTGAGCGACAGTACCCATGTGTTTATCAGAAGGGATAATGTGCGGCGTCCCTTACAACCAGCTTACGATGGTCCATTTAAAGTTATTAGAAGAAATGATAAAACTATTACAGTAGATAAAGCCGGAAAAACGGATGTAATTAGCATAGATCGAGTCAAACCAGCTTTTATCGAAGCTGACGATCAGCCAGTACATACAGATCATTCGAAAATCGTCGAGTCTCAATCATCAACGACATCGACGAACAAAAACGAAGAGAAACCAGTAACGACAAGATATGGTCGAAGAGTACGATGGCCTCAACGATACATAGCTACGATTTTGAACTAATAATTTCTTACGCATCTTCAGATGTAAATTTCTTTCCTCTTCGTTTTGTATGTGCACATCGGAAACTTTAATTTATCTATTATTATGGTCAACAAATTTTGCATATTCCAATGTAAATGTATATAAACCTTTAAAAACACTAACACATTATTTTGATCTGTTATTTTATCTGGCCTCACGGACATATACGAACTCAAGATTACACGTACTTGTAATAATTCACACGATAGTTCTATCATACATCTTAATTTCATAAATTTTGATATTTACTGTCCTGTTAAGTTTAACATTTTTTTATTCGCAAACACAGACACTATTTTGTATCCATGTTTGCTGGGGGGGAGCTATTATAGCAACTCAGATACAATTGAGTTTGTTTACATCTAATTTAGCTAAGCCCTTTTGTTAACTTATTTAATGGACAGTCATTCATACAATAACAACCCATCTATACCATTGTACTTTTATTATATACGCTTGAACATTGCTTACCGCCCACGCACGTATTCATTCCACTAGCATTATTAATAATCACTTATTTGATCCGATGATTCATGCTTTTCTACTTATATATATATGTACATTTTAATCCTGTTAACTGCACTGCACTGCCCTGCTTGCTCTTTGCTCTACATTACGCTACACCATACTGTAGACGCTTACTCATTCATTCGGCTCTACAGCACTACTCTTACATGCTTGCTTAACGTGTCTGTAATATTGGATAACTGCGTGTGGTTCGATAATAAACTGTAGTTGCTGCTTTCCTTCGTCTTCTGATTTTACGCACCGTTAAGTTTAGAATTATAACGGTTATCGAAGTAAACGATTAATGAATCGCGGCACTACATGTGTTCTCGTTTGCTACACTACTACTAATACTAATATCAATACTACTACTACCATTACTATAACTACTACTACTCACACTACTGCTGGTTAGCGTTTTGTTTAACGAGTTGGTTTTCTACGGGATGGAATCCTTTAACCAGGCTTGGGACCGGCAGTAGCCTCCAGAGGAGCTACTAATGGCAATAGTAATAATGGTAATAATACCATTACCACTATTATTATTACATTTATTATTGATCAGTAGGGGTTTTGTGGAGATTTCAGTATTTTCATAGTTGAAATCATGAATCAATTGAAGCTAGACCACTATGGGAAACCTGGGAGCACTGGACGGCCGTTTCGTCCTATTGTGGGACTCCTCAGCAGTGCGCATCCACTACCCGCACTCGCGAGATTCCAACCCACGACCTACCAGTCGCGCGCCAGAGCACTTAGCCGATATTAATAATTATAACATTATAATTATATAATATTATTAATAGTTTTTTACGCAAGATACTTCTCATCCGTCGGCAAGACACAATCGGCAACCAGTTACTGTGGGAGACAACAAAACAGATTCCAGTGGAGGAAGAAATCATGAAGAAGGGCCAGAAGTGGATAGGACACACTTTGAGGAAATCACCCAATTGGGTCACAAGACAAACCTTCACATGGAATCCTGAAGGCCAGAGGAGGAGAGGAAGACTAAAGAACACACCTAAAAACCCACCTGATCAGTAGAAGATATTAACAGCTTTAGATGATACATTCATACTATTCAACTTGTATCATTCAATCTCATCTATTTAACAAGAGGGGTTTTGTGTGGAGATTTTAGTAATTTCATATAATTGAAATCATAAGTCAATTGAAGACAATGGTGGATGGTCGCTCAATTTCGTGAATTGGTTGAAGTTAGACATTAACACCATTGGTTGCCAGCCGGCTCAGTGGTTTTAAAGGTAAAGCGCTAGCGCGTGAGACTGATAGGTTTTGGGTTCGAATCTCGCGAGGAGGGATCATGGATGTGCACTGCTGAGGAGTACCACAATAGGAAGAAACGACAGTCCAGTGCTTCCACGTTTTCTATGGTGGTCTAGTAGAGAATGCAACTATATGGAAAAGATGCTGAAGTGATCATTTTATGAGATTAGACTGACGGTATTTGGTTCATCACATCATCATCAACATCATACAAGTAAACAGTCTGTGATGTTGTCAAACATGATTGGAAACCGATTCCAATGTACTATAAATGTAAAAATGACTGATCGAGTTTCCTATTCTTTTTAAAATATTAAACAATACCTATCTTTCTTTCTTTCTTTTTTCACTTACTTTGATCGCAAAATTGTCCTGTCCAACAGGGTTGACACATACATTCATAATCAATTCCATTTACTGGTTGTATTAATTGTTTACAATTGACTGCATGAACACATTGTGAATTACTACATGCTAATCTTAATTGACAATTAGATCCTTTAAAACCAGGTGGACATAAACATTGGAAACCATGAGCATCTAAATCTTGACATGTTCCACCATTTAAACATGTATTGATTAGGCAATAATCAATATCTTTGCGAAATCGGATTGTGTAATACATGAAAAATAGAGAAAAAAGTATGTTTCATTGTAAAGATAAATAGAAACTAAGATTTGTGTCTTACTGAATCATTTAACATGGGAGAAAAATTATCCGTCCTTGCATGAAACGTTCTAACGAGGTTACTCCATGGAACTATCAGGAATGGAACATAGAACTTTCAGAATCTCCTACTCTTCCATCAAGATTTTAGGTTGTACAGAATTCAAGCTACCTTACGCTATATGTTGCTGAAAAGCCAGGTAGATCATATGCTGACTTTAGACTAATTGGCGGATGAGAAACGAATAGTATTATGAATATGTGAATTGTTCATGGCCTACATATCTCTGTCTAGATCATTTATTATGAATTCATGTATACGTGATTGATGTAAATTTTCGATTCGATTCTGACATTGAAGTTTCCTAAGTACTCTTAGTCTTCTCACTTTCTCATTGCCGGTTGTTTCAACTATTAGGTGGTGTATGAAGTTTTGATTGAACCTGACCGCATAACTAGATAACAAGCATTTTAGTTATCATACAGGTCAATTAAGTTTACTGAAACATATTGTTTAAGACATGTCAGACACGTTGAAGTAAAATAGACAATTAAGGCTAACAATGGAATCAACGATGCGCTTGTCGTCTTATTTACTACTCTTCAGCTGAATGTACTTTACATATTCCAGAGTTGGTGTCCACTTCGGTATCTGAACCCTATATTCTTCCCTTTAAGTGGTAGTATATAAAGTATTAAATCAAATAAATTTTAACCACTGAAATTACTCTCTTCACAATGATCACTACGCCATTCTGGTTGACATTCACATTCATAAATGATATTATCTGTTGATATACAACGACCACGTTTACATGGATTAATTATACATGGTGCCAATTCTATATTCATTATCGTAGAACAAAAAAAAACCACTCGCAGTTATCTACCTCAATTGTTCATTTAAACATTTTTTAAGCTGATAAAATGCGATACTGAAAGACTATAGAGTATATATCAATCGCTTTTAAATAAGTGCACTTTCAACGATCTCTCCCAGTCTGAAAGCCATATCATTGACTTTTTCATCAAATCAACACACGTTTTTATAATTACTAGTTTAGCTACTCATAAGTAGGTAAATGATATTTGATACATTATTTCCGTTTTTAGGTCATTTCAACCATATGGCGGTTCTCCGTATTTTGAAGAGGACCATCTATAAACTGACATTAAATGAAGCCCAAAAGGTATTCATTTTATTTGTAACTTCTTAGCATTGTGTGTACATAAATGTGGTGATTGATCTGATTTTTTGCCAGATGATCCATGAAATTTCAAATGAAGGTTTTACGATTCACTACTCATCTTATTTGTACATGTTAAAACAAAAGACAATCATTTATTCAATAATCCATCTTATCCTTTCTAGTTCAGTGCTTGTGTTGGTTTATTATACAAACGTGATACATCATAGAAATTTTAGGATAAATTTTCCCTTATTTGATATTGTCAACTGTGTAATGTTAGTAAAATTCTTAGATGGAATCATAATAATGGCGATATATGCTTATTATGTTGATAGCACTAGATTAGGAGTAATCAACAACCATAATTAAACAGATAGACCTTGTGAGTTTCAAACTCGGATCATTCAGGCTATACATTGGATGTCCGACTTATGGTAGTTGTTTATAGTTGTTATAACGTATGGACTCGTAATTGTTATGAATGTGCAATTAAAGAGGAGTGAATTTATTGATCGGACGCGAATGATGATTGAAATCGTACGAACAGTATTGGGTGCTGTTCGGTCCTTCCTATCTGCCTAGCCCAGCCCGTTAAGTTCAGAACACAAATAACAGCCTCGGCAATATGAATCATTATTTACAAGCATACTGGGTTTTTATACAAACCAAAGTAATCAATAAACTGATTATAACTCAAGAATCGTATGATAATAAATCAAAGATCAAAATAAAGCTAATGATAAGAGAAATACGAATATGAATAGTTTAGTTACGTAATAATTGTACAATAGGAAATAGGCATAATACACTGGTCGATAAATAGTCCTGAGAGTTACCATTCATAATTCACCAGGGGATATAACAGTAGTGCCAACATACACGTAAATACAATCGCAAATAATTAATGAATTTCAAGAAAACCAAAAATCGAAATCTTATAGACTCCGACATAAAGTTCTCAAAAGAGCTTTATGAATACACTGATTGTTCCTTGTTACTATCGAGGATAATAGCTCTTCTGTTAAATTGTTCAGTTCTAAGTAGTCAGCCCAACGTTATAATTTTACTACCTAAATTCAACTTCATCTTGAGGAGCCAGTTTACCTTGAGAAAAAGTTGATAACTCGAAAGTAAATATGTAAACTCCTTAATTGGATAATAAAGTTATACAAACAAACTTAGACAGCTTGGAAGCAACTAGACGATTTAGACTTTACAGATTATCTAGCCTTTGTATCCCATACACATCGACAATTACAGTCAAGACAAACAGTGTAGCAGCAGCCTCTGTATCAGTGGGCCCCACTATACACAAGGGGAAAAGCAAGATCGTCAACTACAACACGGAGAATATCAACCAAATCAATCATATCTGATGGAGAAACTCTGGATGATGACCCAATGCAAGTCAAAAGGTAAGGATTGGCAAAGTAATGGCAGCATTTTTACAACTGAAGAGCATATGGAACTCAAAACAACTATCTGTCTGATAATTTCAAAGTGAGAATCCTCAATACGAATGTCAACATAGTCCTACTGTGTTGAAAATGCAACATCGAGAACTACTACATCCATCATCGAAACAGTGCAAGTATTCCTAAACAATTCTCTACACAAGATAATCCGTGTTCATTGCTCGGATACCATCAGCAACAGACTTCTATATGAGAGAACAAATCAGTTTCCAAATGAAGAGGAAATTAAGAAAAGATATTGGAAGTGAATAGGACATACATTATGGAAATCGTTAAACTACATCACAAGGCAAGAGCTAACTTGGAATCGTGAAGGAAAACGAAAAAGAGGAGGACCAAGAAACACATTGAGTTTGGAATTGGGAAGAGACATGAAAAGGATGAATATGAACTTTAAACAAGTGTAAATGATTGTTGATGACAGAGCTGGGGGTAACAGTGTGATTAAGTAGGTAAGTGACAAATTTCGAAATAAATTAACAATGAATAATTTAACCAGAAGAATTATACATGATAATCTTACTTACTTCACAATATTCCCCGGTAAAATCACGTGTACAACTACAATTGAATGGTTTTGAATATGAAGAATTCAAATTCCTACATATTCCATTATTTAAACATGGTTGATGTCGTTCACAATAATCCAAATCTGTATATTCGATTAGTTACCAATGAAATGGAAAATAGAATAGAATAATCGTCTGTGTTAGTTGTAATAATGAGTATGAATGAATCATATATGTACCTATAAGCCTTTTTTTTGCTGACTTGAAATAGTGCCATCGTGAATTCAGTTAACACTAAAGACACGCAAACAGAAAATTGATTAGTTCTCACGGATTGACTTCATTTGATATCTAATCAAGTTAACTTCTACCTCAATAGTTCAGTTGACAGTTTCCTTTGACTATGGAAATCAGGTTTCAAACTCCATATAAAGCATCATTTTCTTTAAGAACACAAGGGAACCTAGTTATTGGGAGTCAACGAGTATAAATTTATCCCAATACCTTTATACAGGTTGTTTTTAGGATATTAGGTCACCCACAATGGTGGTTAAATTACATCTTCATATGTGATAGCTTTCTTTGAGAAGTCAATCATAAATCTAAATATTACTAAGAATATATTGATATATTATGAGATGATTTTTATGCGTGTAGTTGAAATCATGAGTCAATTGATGCTAGACCACCATAGAAAAACTTGGATGCACTGGACGTACGTTTTGTCCTATAGTGGGACTCCTCAGCAGTGCGCATCCATGATCCTGCCTCGCGAGATCCAAACCCATAACCTATCAGTCTCGCGCGTGAGCACTGAGACGATCAGCATCCAACAGTGTTAATGTTTAACTTCAACCAATCCACGAAATTGAGCAACCATTCACCAATGTCATCAGTGAGTTACTATCTCTCAACAGACCTGATTGAACTCCACTGGTTACTGTTTCTCACTAGAACTCCAAGAAGTCTAGCTTCATTTGACTCATGATTTCAATTATATAAAATTACTAAAATCTCCACAAAACCCTCCTTTTGACATTTAATCTTTGTTTAAAATCTTTCCACTCATAATTTTGTTTTCCACATTTTCCACTATGAATTCGTTAATGTGCTGAGGAAAGGTTATTATTATTATTATTATTATTATTATTATTAATAGTAGTAGTAGCAGTGGTAGTAGTAGTAGTAGTAGCAATAATAATAATAATAATAATAATAATAATAATAATAATAATAATAATAATTGTATATTTAACATGAACTGACCTTGATCACAAAATGATCCACCCCAATTAGGTAAACAACGGCATGTAAATGGTGCATCATTACATGTTCCATGTTCACATCCTGGATATTTGATACATTCATCACAAAGTGGACCTTGCCAACCAGTTGCACAACTTATAAAGAATGAGTTAATGAAAATTGAAAGTTATTATAAGTGTTGAATTAAACAAAAAACAACAGAATACTTTTTCGCTGACATCAAATAGTGCCATCGTGAATTCAGCTAACACTAAAGACTCCCAAACAGAAAATTGATTAGTTCTCACGGATTGACTTCATTTGATATCTCATCAAGTTGCCTACTGCTTGAATATTTCAGTCGATAGTTTCGTTTGACTATGAAAATCAGGATTCAAACTCCATGTGAAGCATTATTTTCTTCAAGAACACAGGAGTATCTAGTTACTGGGAGTCAAGTAGTATACATTTATCTCAATAATCTCATACTGGTTGTTCCTTTGATATTAGGTCACTCACAAATAAGGCAGACAAATAAGGCGGCCTGCTTTAACATCTGGGCTACCTGTTTCCCGTCATCTATATATTTCAACAAGTTATCTAATATCGTTTGTTTTAATACATAATTATGGCTATTAAGCACACAACCTATTCCGGTGCGTTTCTGAAAACTGCACAACCTTTCGCTGTAAAAGTTGCAAAAGGCGTAATCAGAGATTTCGTGTATGCTGGGAACATGCCGCAAAAAGAATATACATTATTCATATGTCGATTGACTGAACTGCTGACATCCAACTGGCGATCACTGAATGTTTATCATCAGAAGCAACGAAGAAATAAGAAACGTAAACATGTTGAAATACTTTATGCTGAGAATTCGATTTTGTACCAAATAATATAATATTGAATAAAGCTAATAATAATAACAATGGTGATTAAATTATAACTTGACATGTGATAGCTTTCTTTGAGAAGTGAATCGTAAATCGAATTATTACTAAAAATATATTGATATATTATGGAATCGTTTTTATACATATAATCATTTTATATAATTGAAATCACGAGTTAATCGAAGCTGAACCACCCTGGGAAACATTGAAGCATTGGAGAGACGTTTCGTCCTATTATGGGACTCCTCAACATTGTGCATCCACGATTCCGCCTCACGAGATTCCAACCCAGTCAGCGCACAACCTCTGAACCACTGAGCCAGCCAGCATCCAATGGTGTGAAAATCTAACTTCAACGAATCCACGAAATCGGGCAACCATTCACCAATTGTTTTCAGTGAGTTACTATCTCTCAACAGACCTGATTGAACTCCACTGGTTACTGTTTCTCACTACAACTGCAAGTAGTCTATCTTCAATTGACTCATGATTCCAACTATATAAAATTACTAAAATCTTCACAAAACCCTCCTTCTGACATGTAATCATTGTTTAAAAAGTTTCCACTCATGATTTTGTAATATTACTTAGTAAATCTTTGTAAAAAAGGAATCTTATTGACAGGAATCTTATTAACTAAACTTGATCACTAAATGATCCACTCCAATTAGGTAAACAACGGCATGTAAATGGTGCATCATTACATGCTCCATGTTCACATCCTGGATATTTGATACATTCATCACAAAGTGGACCTTGCCAACCAGTTGCACAACTTATAAAGAATGAGTTAATGAAAATTGAAAGTTATTATAAGTGTTGAATTAAACAAAAAACAACAGAATACTATAAGTGAAGTAGTGTAGGAGAATACATATGAGGACAACCGACAAATAGAAAAACCATACTCTGTTGCTTCATTGTTCCTGGATTTCCACACTAATTGCTTTCTGTTTCTGTTCTTCCCTTCTAGATCTTCTCAATCTTCTGCTGCTAGATATTCTATTCCTGACTCATGGCATATACTACTTATGATAAGTAGCCCATATCACATTGGTGTTCTGCTTGGTTTTATCACACCTATTGAATCAGTAAATGACTTATGTTTGGTACTAAAACCCTAAATTTAACGATGCTTAGTGATAAAATAAAAACTGTTTATATGGAAAATATTTGACCCTGTAATAGTATTCATAATCGGGTTACAAGTACTTCTTGTGTACATTTCAAAGGCCTTTATCGTTATATCAACTACATTATCAAACCTCAAATGTGGTATCACTTCTAATTCATATAATCATGGTGACAACAAACTATCTTATAGATTTATAATAAAATGTCGACCATCGGGAATCAACATATATCTCGATGATTACCCATAATTCATCAGGGTAAGATGAACTCAAATATCAACTGAGATTAATAAATTCAACTGTAAAATATACATATAACAGGGAAAAACATGCAAGCTTTAACAACTATTGATAAATATCGTTTCTTATTTCTTCTCGCATACTTAATCACTTACTAGTGTATTGAATAACATAAAACGATTCATAGTTGAAAGCGTGAGTCAATTGAAGCTAGGCCACCAGGGAAAACCTGAAAGCACTGGACGGCCGTTTCGTTAGACATAAACACCATCGGATGCCGGATCAGTGGTCTATCGGTTAAGTGTTCTGGCGCGAGACTGGTAGGTCTTGGATTCGAATCTCGCTCGCGACGCGAGGGCGTGGATGCGCATTGCTGAGGAATCCCACAATAGGACGAAACGGTCGTCCAGTACTTCCAGATTTTCCATGGTGGTCTAGCTTCAATTGACCCATGATTTCAATTATGAAAATACTAAATCTCCAAAAAAACCCTTCTGATAATAATATATAGGTTCGTTTCATCATGAGGGTCATAGTTATCTTAGCAACTAAAAAATGTTCAATGGTTACTTACTTGTAAACATTCACTATTCTTAATCAATTTGATCTAAATATGATTTGACTTTAACTAACTACTATTTGCAAGAGCAGAATTTCTACAATTGAAGAACATATGGAACTCAAAACAACTATCAACTAACTTAAAAGTCAGAATCTTCAATACGAATGTCAAGACCGTCCTACTGTGCGAAGCTGAAACGTGGAGAACTACTACATCCATCGTCAAGAAGGTACAAGTATTTATAAACAGCTGTTGCGTGCCGTTGCCGTTCTTTCCTTATCGATCTTCTGCTGAAATACATTCAATGCCCGAGTATCACCATATACTACTTATGAAATCCTACATTAACAATATTCAATTGACTAGTCTTAAATAGATATCAAGTGTATCCTTTAAAAATTTCATTGTTAGCTACTAATTCAATTACTAAGGAAGTGATTAGTGTTTTTCCATTCAATTAATTAACCATTTGTATCATGTATACCGATACCTTATTCACTTATCAATAACATTCACTTATTTATTATGTCCTTTTTTGTTTTACCAGTAATCCGGAAAAGGGGAATAGAGTGAAGATTGTTGAGTTTTGATTGAGATGATAAATCGATCAATTTAAGACCACTATTTAAAACCTGGAAGCACTGAACTCCTGTTTTGTTCTAGTATGAGACTCTTTATCAATCAATGTACACCGTTGGATATCGGCTCAATGGTCTAAAGATTAAATGTTTTCACGTGAGACTGAAGGTTCTGAGTTCGAATCCCACATGAAGGATCGTGGATATGAACTGTTGAGGAATCCAATACTACAACGAAATGATTATCTAGTGCTTCTAGATTCTCATTAGCAGTTTGGCATTAATCTACTCATAATCTTAATCAAAAAAATCCAAGAGATATCAGTTTATCAATAGAAGACAAGTAAGCAAACCCGACTAACAATCTTGGTTGTCATTTGATTACAGTTACATGAAAGAAAAATATTCAGGGTATATGATCAAATAAAAGTTTTGTTTATTTGCTTTCCCTTTGTAAATTATATTTGATGGGGGAGGAAAGGTAGGAGATGAAGGGTGATAATTGTTTTATTCGAAAACGAAAATTAAAGATTCATTTAGTCGTTGAATGCATGAACTGATTAAAGCTAGACTATCATGGAAAACCTAGAAGCACTAGTATGTGACTCCTCAGCAGTGTATATCCACGATCCACACCATGAGGGGCTCGAACTCAGGATCTATCAGATTCATGCTCTAATTTCTAACCACTTGACCACTAAGTCGGTATCAAATAGTGGTAATGTCTAATTTCAATCAATCCAAGATATTGCATCACCATCCACCATTGTTTTCAGTGAGTAACTACCTCACAACATACATATTCGAACTCATGGACTTAACTATCACATTACTAGTATAATTTCGTTTTCCTTTTAATGATTTGTAAAAATTAATCGATGGAATTTGGTCAGCATCAAAAAGGATTAGATAAATATGCAATTAGGCATCATTCAATGATTAAATCGTCTTTTTCAGATCTGTGAAACAAAATAATCAACTTACTCGCATTCTCCTGGTCTTGAACAAGTTCCATGAACTGGATGACAACCAATATTACATATTGCTAGGTATTAAAACATATGGAATATAACAGTTATCATTCAATTTATATTATAACATTTTACTATAGAATATCTTCAATAGGATAATGAAGATTATGTTGTGACTGTTTGATTAGTTATTGTCGTTTGTAACTTAATTACGTACGTCTGTTGCCCCTCATCGAGGAGCATACGCCGCCCATTATCACTCTCCATCCAACTCTGTCATCAACAATCATTTACACTTATTTACAGTTGATATTCATCCATTTCATGTCTCTTCCCAATTCCAAACTCAATGTGTTTCTTGATCCTCCTCTTTTTCGTTTTCCTTCACGATTCCAAGTTAGCTCTTGCCTTTTGATGTAGTTTGATGATTTCCGTAATGTGTGTCCTATCCACACTCAATATTTTTTCCTAATTTCCTCTTCATTTGGAAACTGATTTGTTCTCTCATATAGAAGTCTGTTGTTGATAGTATCCGACCAACGGATATTGTATTATATTTTCCTATTGTTTTTATTGGAAACAGTATTTTAATCAATCTCTGTTTATATAGGAACTCCTATAGTCAATATTCTCACATTCCCTATGAATAAATACTGATAACATTTTGTTTAGTAGAGTGGCAACTCAGTTAATTGGATATATTTGAATTTGTATCGGTTTTTACTCTGAAAGCCGAGAATAGTGATTACTACGCAAAACATCATAGCGTTATTTATTAGACTACTGAACTAAGCATAACCAGAAAATTGGTTCAGACTCCATTGTAAATGTCAACACTTGGGTACAGGTATACCTAGGTGAGAAGTATGAAGTGGAACAAAACGTGCATTCTGATTTCCTGTACTAGTCGCTGTGAAAGACTTCATTTTTTTCTTGATGTAAACACATCATGATAAGTTTAAGACTGACTGCTTCGAGATGTTATCATAAATAGAATATATCGTCAAAATTAGTCACCTATTCTGGGTTGTTTTTTTTAATTCAACAAATGATCCAACCATCCATCAAGTTCAAAATAGAACAATTAGATACCAAGTCAGTGAGGGATCATGAGTACGATCGCCGAAAGAATTGTCGGAATTCATTGTTGATAAGTTGTACATTACATTACATTAAATAATCTATGGAAGTTTTTCATGGCTTATAATGATTATACCATCAACAACAGTCTACTGTGGAAGAGGACAAACCAGTTTCCAAATGAAGAGGAAATTAGGAGAAGATATTAGATGTGGATAGGACATACATTATGGAAATCATCAAACTGCATCACAAAGCAAGAACTAACTTGGAATCGTGAAAGGAAACGAAAAAGAGAAGGATCAAGAAACATATTGAATCGGGAATTGGGGAGAAACATGAAAAGGATGAATATCAACTTTAAACAAGTGTAAATGATTGTTGATGACAAAGTTGGATGGAGAATATTGGTGGACGGCTTAAACTCCTCAATGAGGGGTAACATAATATAAAACCATCCGGCGAGACTATAATTTATGGACGAACTTTGAACGAATCTTAAGTGACCTTGAGAAATGTTAGCCAATCAGTAAACAGTCAGCATAAAGTACAAATATATTATACAAAACCAAATAATTAAAGTGGATAAACTTCTTTTATATGGTCGAAAATCATGTCAAAGTTAGAAAAAGGTTCAAAGGTAGAGAAACTCATCCATATGACTCCATAGTAATTGGTCTCTGAAACCATGATAAGGTCACAAAAACCCTCTCAGCCTCGACCACATAGCTCCATTATTGTTTGTGTGTACTACGGTTGTGTAAGTTTATCATTTTTATTATGGATATGTCCCTACAATACTCATGCACATGTGCCAATTAGAGACTGACCAGTTGCAGTCCTAACACATCGATGGGAAGATTCAAACAAACTATACTAAGTGAATTCAATACTCATACCTGTTGAACAGCCAAAGCTCCAGTAACATCTGCGATTATTGCAGTCAATGTTATTGGTGCTTTTATTATACAGTTCGCGGCATTCATTATAATATGCCTTAGTCTCAATCTGAATCGAGTGATAAAGGTTCCTATTCTAGCAAACGTCTTCCTTCAACATATATTACATCGAAGGATAACATCACGGTAGTCTGTACAAGGTCTACGAGTTATTTAATACCCGCAATTACAAATACACGAACTTCTTAGTAGTCTCGTTTTTGTAACCGCTTAATTGTCAAGTCTTCTTCAAAATCCTTTGTGAACCGATCATATATGAGCATCAGGTACTGAAATTGGCGCCGTAACCTTGAAATCCCTCAAAAACGCTTCTGATTAGCTCGTCCATAAACTATGGTCTCGCCAACTTTTCTTATAAAATTGTTCAATCTTTACAATACCACCTAAATTATAGGCTATTTCGAATGTTTTCATCTTCGTTATAAAGAGGATGGTTGTTTTAATCATGAAAATACAAACATTTCACTAGTTTAACTGTCAATGGTTCTGTCTTTTATGTTTGTTTTTCCCTCCTTTTTTTCTTTTTTTTGTTATTTAATAAACTTTTAAAATTGAAAAATGGAATTCGTTTTTTTCTCGATTTTATGATTGATTATGGCAAAACAAAATAGAGAGTGTGTGTGTGAGTGTGTGTATGTGTGTGAGTGAGTGTGCATGTCTGCGACAATGCTGGTCAGTGGCCTATGCTCCATTGGGAGTAACAGGCGTAAGTAAAGTATGTATGTGTGTGTGAGTAAGAGAGAGAAAGAGAAATGAAAAGAGAAGGAGTGAAAGAGAGAAAAGTTCAGAAATGATAAAAAAAATAACCGAAAAAAGAAAGAAAACAAGTTTTTTTTGTTGAAATATTAATTAAATGGATGATATAATATCCAAATGAAATCTCATAGTTTATTCAAGAACTTGGATAGTAATAACAAACATTTCAGTTAAAAGAGAAAAGAATGAATGCGACACATACTCCATTGTCTTCAGTGAGTTACTATTTCACAAAAGACCTGATTGAACTTTACTGGTTACTGCTTATCACTCGAACTCCTGGAAATACTTCTTGAAGCCAATCACTAGTGAGCATATGTTGATTAATATCAGAAGGGGTTTTGTGGATATTATAGTAATTTTATATAGTTGAGATCATGAATCAATTGAAGCTAGACCGTCATGGAAAACTTGGAAGCATTTTACAGCCGTTTTGTCCAATTGTGGGACTCCTAAGCATGCACGATCACGCACTCGCGAGATTCGAACCCAGGACCTGACAGTCTCGCGCCAGAGCCCTTAACCGATAGACCACTGAGCCGGTTTCCCACGGTGTTAATGTCTAACTTCAACCGATCCACGAATTATGAGCTTGCATTCACCAATTGTCTTCAGTGAGTTGTCATCTCACAACACACGCCGTTGAACTCAACTGGTCACTGCTTCCCACTAGAATTCCAGGACATGTATCTTGAAGTCAGTCATCAGTGAGCAAATGATTATAATCAGAAGAGGTTTTGTGGAGATTTCAGTATTTTTTCAAAGTTGAAATCATGAGTCAAATTTCTTAATTTATTCAAGATATACGATAATAATAACAAACATTTCAGTTAAAAAAGAAAAGAATAAGTGCGACACATCCTCCATTGTCTTCAGTGAGTTACTATCTCACAAAAGACTTGGTTGAACTCCATTGGTTACTGCTTCTCGCTAGGACTCCAGGAAATACCTCTTGAAGTCAATCACTAGTGAGCATATGTTAATTAATATCAGAAGGGGTTTTGTGGATATTATAGTAATTTTATATAGTTGAGATCATGAATCAATTGAAGCTAGACCATCACGGAAAACCTGGAAGCATTGGAAGGTCGTTTCGTACTATTGTGGAACTCCTCAGCAGTGCGCCGCGTAAGATTGGATATTAATTTGCAAAATATTAATTCAACTTGATTGTTCTTTTGTAAACGACAATCAGTCATCTCAAACTTTACTGTTCCTTCATCTCCATAGCAATTATTTTCTGGTTCTGTTCTTCCCTTCTCGATCTTTTCAATGTTCTGCTGCTAGATATTCTACTCCTGGCTCATGGTATATACTACTTATTTTGATATAAGTAACACACACAACATTACCACTAAGTATATCAGCATTATGAACAATGATGAAAATTGGATTAGAAGTTAGACATTAACGCCGTTGGATACTAGCTCAGTAGTCTATCGGTTAAGTGCTCTGGCGCGAGGCTGGTAGGTCCTGGGTTCGAATCTCGCGAGTGCAGGATCGTGCACATGCACTGCTGAGGAGTCCCACACTACGACGAAACGGCCGTCCAGTGCTTCCAGGTTTTCTATGGTGATCTAGCTTCAATTGAATCATGATCTGAACTCTATAAAATTACTAAAATCTCCACCAAACCTCTTCTGTTAAACTGAATAATAAATCAGTTAAGATCGGTTTAATAATTCGGAATTTAGCTTATTGTTGACTTAATTATTCCTCATAATTACTAACTGCTAACAAAACAACAAAAGGAAAGGTAAATGGAAAGCTTCGTAGCAGGTGTATGATAAGGCATAATGAACTTATTCACTCTCCAAACAATGTTTACATCACAATAATAGGCATGAAAAATAACTGGTTGTATTGATCACAAGGAGAATATGGCAACTGGTTGATCTTAGTATGAGATTCTATAGATGTGCATACACGAAACTCAATCAGACATCGAACCCAAGAACTTTATTCCCTATCAAAGCCAACAGACTTTATAAACCACCTACAGTAATAATGATAATAAGCTGAACCCTTAGTCATTTGAACCAGTGGGTTGGTGCCAAATAGTACAATCTTAACTTCAACCAATTTTGAATATTATGTGATGATTATCCAGTCCTATTAATCTCAATTGTCTCATCTCTAATATATCAGAATTCTGCCAGTTATGATTTCCAGTGAATATGTATTACTAGGGTGTAAGTTAATGGTTGGAGGTGGTCAACAGGAAACCCTGAACCCAGGTTTCGTGCTACTTGGCACTCGTCAGTAAGGTGCACCTGTAATCCTGAGGGAACTGATGCTCCTTGGCGGATTCGATCCCGTGTCACTCAGCTTCACAGTCCGAGACGTTACCACTCAGCTATCCGGGCCTCGACCGACCTCCTGTAGGACTGAGATCACCTCCAACCACCAACTTATTTCAATATATATAGTGAAAGCAGTGTCGAGCCACCTAGACTGTTGGCCACATTGTAACTTGATCGATAGCATTCGATCAGCACTAAGAAGGACTCGACATGCATGACATTTATCACCACCCAGTGATCAATCAATTGTGATTACTAAGGTGTCCTCAACGAACACGAAACACTTGTCTAATTCATCTTGATGTTCTGGAATACCTCATATGACGGATGCTACCTACAAATTAAGACATTATAGAATGATAGAGATAGACAGATAGAATAATAAATAATTCATTCAATTACCTTTATCACATTCAATTCCACTCCAACCAGGTTCACATAATTTATCACCATTTGAATCACATTTAAATTTGGTATGATTCTCATTGACTTGACATACTTTAGTACAATCATTACCATAATGATTTAATTCACATGTTAATTGAATACAAAATGTATAACCAGAATATTGTGTGGATATAGTAACTTGATGCCAATCTGTGGAGAGATTTAATGGCTTCGTTGAAGAAATTAATGGACGTAATAGATCACGATGTTTAGCTCGATCAATTAAATATTTCTCATTACGATTCACTAAATCATACGCATCTAATATAACTGTGAATAAACGCTGAATTGAAAGAGAATAAACAAAGAGGAAGAGGAATATTATGGAAAGAAATGCATTCATAGCAGTATAGATGAATACTTATAAAGTTGATTATCATATTTGATGTATGAGGAATTTTTAATTCAATGTTGAGCGGCAAAGTCCGACTCATACGTCCTCGTCGTGTCTCTTGAATCATGTGACTGTTTCCATGAACTAATGTGAGCGGTGACCCGGGTGGTGGAGATAGGCCTAATCAACCAATTTTCCAATCCCCGAGAACGAATACGAATGCTACATAGAGTGATTGCATAATTACTAAGGGTTCAAAAGAGTGGTAAAATAAAAATGGGTCTGCCCAAACAAAAACAAAAAGACAAAAAAATGGGTTGTGAGAGTTATGTAACGGTTCTGCGTAAGCAGTACAGAAACAGATATCCCACCCCAATAGTTGCGCCGCGATTCGATGTAGCACTGTTCTCTAGAAGTGCCTAATAGGCTTCACCATTCTATATGGCTGGAAGGGGCAAGTCAATGTTAGTTACATGTCCATTTCTATTCCATTTGGATTCTATTAATTCTTTCCTAGAAAATTCATTAGTGTCTTAACATCATTTAAAGAATCTCTGAAATTACATCCCTATTCTTCAAACTAATCATAATTTTTTTAATTCGATATGTTTTAGTAACTAAATGTTATCAGAAGGGGTTTTGTGGGGATATTAGTAATTTTATATAGTTCAGATCATGAGTCAATTGAAGCTAGACCACTATGGGAAACCTGGAAGCACTAGACGGCCGTTTCGTCCTATTGTGAGACTCCTCAGCAGTGCGCATCCAGTATTCCGCTTCGTGAGATTCCAACACAGGACCCATCAGTCTCGCGCCAGAGCACTTAACCTCTAGACCACTGAGCCGGTCGGCATCCAACAGTGTTAATGTCTAACCTTCCAGGTTTTCCATGTTGGTCTACCTTGACTCATGATCTCATCTATAAAATTACAAAAATCTCCACGAAACCTCCTTCTGATATCTTAAATCGGATTGGTTTGTTAATAAATCATACTTTGAATAGATAGTAAGATAGTTTGTTAAGATTTATGCTTAGTGTGTATTTAAATTAGTATGAAACTAAGTTACTTTTCACCATGAAGCATGAAACAATTGTGTCGACTCGTTTTGATGTACTCATAATGAAGTAACATTTAGTCTTAGTAATAAGCTGATTAATTTAGAGTATAATATGGATTAGATGTATGAATAAACATTCTTTGATAATACTTCAGGGTGAATTAGGCATGACTAGATAAATTGACAAATTAGAAATATGGGTATATTTGAACATATTTCAGTGTTAGCAACAGTCATATGAGAAGGGATTACCTAACAACAGATTAAGTGGACACAAATTATTTTTTATGATTCAGTGTTTATTTAATATCGGATTGAGTTATCTAAAATAACGAAGTTGGAATGTAATACAAACTAAAAAACCTAATTAATACCCCATTTTTGTATTGGTTATTTGAATCTTCGCAATAATGTTTAGGACTGCATCCTTTGAGGATTGTCTTGGTGTTGCCTTAAGTCAAAAACACTATAAACAGAAATGATTGTGGCTAGCAGTGGAATCCGGGACGCGCGCTTCATCCTATTTGGGACTCGTCTGGTGGATGTACTTGCATCCTAGAGTTTATGTTCAGTCCAGGACTGGAACTCTATACCGTTTACTTAAAACATCATCGCATTATCCACTTATCTAATGAGTCCAGATAGCCACTACCTCTTGCTACGGGGTAAAGTTCAATTCATTTTTGTATTAGCTATCTAGAATCGGAGGCTAAGTGAATAATACGATGACATTTGATGCGAACGTTACTTGGTCTGAGTCTTGAAGTGAACATCAACTGTAGGATGCAGGTAAATCCAGCTGAAGAGTTCCGAATACAACGAAACGCACATCCTGGATTTCACTGCTAGTCACCATCACCTCTATAATCTAATAAGTAGTTTTTTTTTTTTAAATCGATAAATATTTATCTAAGAACTTTTGTGAGGTTATGTGTATGTAGTTTGAGTATGATTTTCTTTATATAATCAAAACGGATTGAATAATTTTTAAAGGCCAAGGTAACTTAAAAATATTTCTGTTTTGAAGATAATCAGAACTGAAATTTTACGTAAACGGAGATGAATGAACTATTTTATCAAATTAATGATGTTGAAAAATGTGTACTGTACCGTCGGTAACTCAGTAATTTAAATATACCATGGTTACTAAAATACTTGAGGTTTACGGGTACAATATACCACATGACTGCGAGTATTAATTGCTGAGAAATCCTAAAACAAGACGAATCAGTTAACCAATACTTCTCTTGTCTTCAAATATTCTATAGCTACTATTCATTCATAATGAAATTCTCTTGAAAATTATCACTACGCAAATTCCTGTACTTATCAGTAGACAACCTCATGCCACCCCATAAAAAAACAATCTATTATTTTTACCGTTATACATCACAGACTAATCTTATTTCGACAATCATTGTAAACTAGAGAGCATTAGACAATTCATTCCTTTTGTATAAGTCCTCTAAACTTTAAACATTCACTATTCGACCAATTATTGAATTTTATAGTTTAAATCATTAGTCAATTGAAGCTAGACCCCCATGGGAAACCTGGAAGTACTGGATGGCTGTTTCACATCACTCTGAGACTCCTCAACAGTGCGCATCCCTCAAGCATGATTCGAACTCAGGACCTATCAGTCTCACGCGCGAACGCTTAACCTCTGGACCACCGAGCCGGCCAGCATCCAACTGTGTTGATGTCTAACTTCAATCAATCCACGAAATTAAGCAACCGTTCACCATTGTCTTCAGTGAGTTACTATCACACAACTGATCTGGTTGAATTCCACTGATCACTGCTTCTTACTAGAACTCCAAGAAATATCTCTCGAATTCAAGATTTACAGGTCTTACAACAAGCCTTTAACCTTCTTCATAACACTAAGTTAACATTAATTCGCTTCCATTTCATCAATAACCGATCTGTAATCACTAAATCAATTGACTTATTTTATCAGAAGGTGTTTTATAGAGATTTCAGTACTTTCATAGTTGAAATCATGAGTAAATTGAAGCTGTGAAAATACTGAAATCTCCGAAAAACCCCCTTCTCATTAGTGACTGACTTCAAGAGATATTTCCTGGAGTTCTAGTTGTAAGCAGTAACCAGTGTAGTTCGAACCACGTCTGTTGTGAGATATCAACTCATTGAAGACAATCGATGAACGGTTACTCAAACTTCTTGACTTATTTTATATTTCAATCTTTTAAGGTCAAATTGAGTTCACTGAAATTGTATGTAACTCTTTCTTTTTTTTCAAATGATTCACTGTCTCCTTTTTCCCTTTTTTTTTTACTTTTTTTAAATTTTAAATGTGTTTGTTACTATGGCATTGAAGATATTAAAATTTGAAAAAATTTTTTCCCAAGAAAAATTAAAATGATTGAATAATTAAATTTCTACCCTAATAAACACTGTCCTACCAACAACAACAACAACGGTAATACAAATTACATCATATCCAATTAAAACAAAATACATTAAAAGAATATTTTTGTGTGAATTAAGGTATATCGAGGAAATACGCACAGTATGCACATATGCCAATTAGAGACTGACCAGTTGCAGTCCTAAACACATCGATGGGAAGATCCAAACAAACAATACTAAGTGAATTCAAAAGAATATAATTTTATCGAAATTCAATTGAAATCAATGAACTGTTAAAACTGAAAAAATTATGGGGGGAGGAGGGTGTTTTATTTTGTTCTTGTTGATAATTCTCAAATTCATCTAGTTCAAGGGGGTAGGGGGTTGTTGTTTTTTTGTTGATAATTTAGTTCAATTCATAGAAAAAGAAAAAACAATTTTTCTCCAAACCAAGAAAAAAAACTAAAACAAAAAATAATTACAATGTCTTCTTTAATTAATTTTCATTTGAAACAGCTGTCCAATCCTTCCAGGTAGGCTTGCTTTAATTTTCTCACGAACTCAACTACTACTAATAATTTGGAAATGATTTAAATATTATTGATTTGAGTAATTATTTTTACCTTAGTTACAATGTATATACATATGGTGATACACACGAACACATACATGCACGCACAAACATATGCACACACATACACAGCTGTTTAATTTTCTGTGTTTAAATTTTTTTTTTGAAGAAAATAATAATCATAATTTCAATTTTAAATTTTAAATATACCGCCAAATTCAGGTTTATTTATTTAAACAAAAGAAAAATTGGAAAAAGAAAAGAAGAAACTGAAGAGTTTGATATTATCTTCTGTTTGTTTGTTTGCTTGAAATCATTCAATATGACAAAAGCATCAAATTTGAATACAGGAAGTTCATAGATATATTCGTTTTTTTTCTTTTTACTGAATTGATATTCCCTAATGTGATTTAATTAATTAATCAGACTACTATTATTATTATTATCAGTATGAAGTCGATCATGAAGGTGATGTAATGAAAAAAGAAATGAATAATTTGTAGAGTAAAAGAATGTTGAAACATTGAATACACTAATACTCATCAATCAACACCGCCTGTAGCTCTTTTAGAGTTACTGCCAGTCCCAAGCCCGGGTAAAAAAGGAGAGTTGAGCATGGAGTTAGCGACCGCATCCAGTAGAAAAAATAACTCGCTAAAAAAACGCTTACCAAAAAAATAATTCAAATCATTTCAACTTCGCCCTGGGAGTTGAAGGAATAATCCAATATGAAGAAGATGAATAATAACTGGAAAGAACTGGAAAGAATTGCCCAGGACAGAGTTAGTTGCAGAATGCTGGTAGGCGGCCTATGCTCCTCCACGAGGGGTAACAGGCGTAAGTAAGTAAGTAAGTAATACTCATCAATCAATTACTAGATATAAATAATTAATGGCACGTTTATCTTAACCCTATAGATTTAACTGAATTCTACAGATCAAGTGTGAAATGTAATTTTTAAAATCACAATACATTTTCATGGATTAATTGATGTTATACATTAACACTGTTAGATACCAACTAGCTCAGTGGTCTAGAAATTAACCGTTCACTTGCGAGACCGATAGGTCCTTAGCTCGAATCCCACAAGCGGGATAGTGGACGAGCATGGATGAGGAGTCCCTTTTTATATTATTTACTTATTTATTCACATATATATTGGTACAAAGGGCACCGGATACAAACGCGCCACACAAAATAATGAGAATGGGAGAAGGAAGAAGATGTGTATATATAAAAGAAGGAAAAAAAAGAAAAGGAGAAGAGTAATGATGAGGGGAACTGAATGTACAACCAGAAGAGCTCTCTTAGTTAGGAAAGTTATAGCCACTCTTCATGAAGAAAGTAGAAGAAGTATACAGCAGGATCGCCACTGGCTTCTATTCTGAGCCATATATGATAACGTTTCTAGCCACTGTGTTGCACCATCTCTCGGACCCCAACCAAGGAGTCGTGAAGGACCAACAAAAGCTAGCCCTTTGCAGCTTTCTTTCATGCCACGACACCATGTCATACACTGACCCCCTCTCCGCTTTTTCCAACCAGTCCCACAGTCGGCAAATAATGCACGACGTGGAAGTCTCTGGGACGATATTCGTAAAACATGTCCAAACCACCGAAGTCGGTGTTTCAAGATGGTGACACCAATTGAATTATTGTCTCTGCGCCCGAACACACAATGCCGAACCACTTCATTACTAACATGGTCTTGCCACTGGATGTCAGCAATCCTTGGGAGACAACGATGATCGAACATAGAGAGACGTCTAACATCCTCAACTCGGAGAGGTCAGGTTTCACAAGCATAGAGCAAAACTACTCTCACCGACGCGTTGTAGATCCGACCTTTTACAGCCAGACTAACATCACGAAGGCGCCAAAGATGGCTCAGATTGGCATTAGCCGCTCTGGCTTTCATTATACGTGCATCAATCTCATCACTCACGCCACCACCAGCACTTATGTAGCTACCTGGATACACGAATTTCTCAACTACTTCAATCTGCTCACCATTCAGGGTGAGTACAGGATGAGAATCCTGACAGTCTTGTAGGAGTACCTTGCACTTGGAGGGTGTAAAGCACATACCGTACCTGCAGACACTGATTGCCAACTGATTAAGTGCTGATTGCGTGCCTTGGGCATTATCGCACAGTAAGACAATATCATCCGCATACTCAAGGTCGAGAAGTCGTTCTCCAGGCAACATATCCACACCGCCATTACTTACATCCATCAGAGCTGTTTCCAGGATGTCGTCGATGGTAAAGTTGAAGAGGAATGGTGAGATCGGGCAACCTTGCCTAACCCTACTGCTCGAATGAAACAAGGGATAAAGGTGGTTGTATGCCCTCACACTGCCTGAGGTGTTCGTATACAGGGCCTTTAAGGTGTTAATGAACTTCTCACTCACACCCTTCTTCAATAGACAATCCCAGAGAACAGTCCTGTCCAACGAATCGAAGGCAGCCCTGATATCAAGAAACACTACGATTGTTGGCCGGCGATAAGTATGACGATGTTCTAATATTTGGCGGAGGGTGAAGATGTGATCAATGCATCCTCGACCAGAACGAAAACCAGCCTGCTCCTCGCGAGTCAATCGTTCTCGGGTTTTAAACAACCTACGAAGAATGATAGAAGCCAATAGTTTGGACGCAATCGAAAGTAGACTTATCCCCCGAAAGTTATTGCAGGAACAACTTGAACCTTTTTTAAAGATAGGGACGACTATTGACTCATTCCATGATGTTGGAACATTTTCTTGCTCCCAAACCTTTCCAAACAACACAGTCAATTTCTTAGTCAGAAGGTCACCACCAACTTTAAAAAGAGCCGGAGGTAAGTTATCTGGGCCCGGTGATTTGTAACGTTTCAAGAGTTTTAGTTCCTTGCGGACTTCCGCCTCGTTTGGTGGATCAGTCGTCACCGGCCATGGGGGGCAGGACAAACTGGTTGATGTTGCCGGAGCAGCAGGCCAGTTGAACTGCCCTTCGAAGAATTCAGCTCATCGTCCAAGACGTCGAGAGATATTAGTGATTGGCATCCCGTAAACCTTGTAGATTGTTTAAACTCACACCAGACTTCTTGCTGCCAGTGGCTCGGATGAGTTGGAAGAGCTACCGGCAGTTACCAGATGCAGCTGCTGCTCCCATCTCATTATCACACTCCGACCACCAGGCTTCTCAGTGCTT